GCGCCTAGCTCTTTTCCCTTCAACATGTTCCCACCTGATGCAGAACAATTACTGTAGAGATTCCTGTGGTTCTTCGACTCATCGTTGGGCTTATCCAGATGATGGAATGGATGAAACAAAATTAGTGATTGGTTGATTATTTATGGATCAATTGATTGATCTTTGTACCAAATCTTATTCTGATGATAAGTTTTTTGCATATTTTAGTGCTGCATTGGTTCCTTCGTTCACTCTGCTTTTCATCTCCTCCAGATTCTTGACTTTCTCCTGGTCTCTGTTTTCCTTCATCTTCTCTATCAGGAAGTCCAAATGGACCAAAGTTGACACTGATTCAACTTTCAGGGCGATCTGTTCCAGTTTCATAACATGCTCGTAGGCCTCATCCAGCAGCGATGCCCACTCTATTTCCAGATTTCTGTTTTCCTGTTTAAGGTTTTCCAGAAGGCTCGACTTTCCCTCACATTCTTCTTTATTATTTTCATATTTCTCCTTCAAATCCTCCAGGGTCTTCTGAACTTTCCTGGTCTTTATCACATATCTCAATTCTTCTTTCACATGATCTGATGCAGGACACTTGTTGGTACAAACTGTGCAGCGCCCCTTCTTCATGACCTCACAGAGTTCTGGTTTCCAGGCCATCGTGCATCCTGGATAGTGACAGTTCTCCTCACAGACAGAACAGGTGACGGCTCCTTCATAAAACATCAAACCCCACCTTCCTCCATCGATTGTTTCTTTTTCTTTGTAGACCTCATCAACTTCTATAGTAAAGCTCTCCTTCATCTCTTCCTTATGTTTATTACACGCTTCTTCAATCTGTCTGATTTCTCTCTGCTTCAGCTCATTCTCCTTGATTCTCTCCTGCAGGTTCTGGATGCAGGCCGTCAGTCTGATCCGTTCATTCAGAACCTCAGCAGTTATTTTCAGAGGCTGAGGTTTGGTTGATTCCAGAAAAGTCATGAAGTTTTTCAGTCCTTTCATTGATGTTTGATTTGCAAGTTCCAGAAATTCTCTGTCGTTTCTTCTGTCTTCATGCTGACAGTTATTAAACAGAAAGTGAATAATCTCATTTTCAGAAGATTTAACATTTGCTGCTTTCAGAGCCTGAAGAGCATTTTTAGGGTTTCTTCCATCAGAGTGAGTAATGAAAGCTACTATGTTTTTCTCCAGGTCTTTTCCAAACAGAGACGTCACTGAATTTAAGACGTACATCTGTCGGTCACTCAGTCGGTTATCACTGGCCTTCATCACCAGACCCACTGCATTGATCTCATGAACTCCATCTTCTGATCTGAACAAGTCCAACAATCTTTGGCCCACAGAGTCATCTTTTTCCAAGCCTCTGGTGTCTCCAAATCCAGGAGTATCGATGATGGTCAGAGAGAACGGCAGAGTTTGACCTTCCAAACCAAAGATCTGATAGACGATCACATCTGATGTCTGACTTTCTGTTTGATTTCTTCTCTCCTCCTCTTCAACAATCTGAAACCAAACGTCATCCTCAAACTTTACTCCTATTGCATAGTTAACCAGAGCGTTGATCAGGGTAGATTTTCCTGCTCCTGTTTCACCAACCAGTAAAATGGTTTTATTGGTTTGGTTCTCATTTTTGTCTCCTAAAGTCACTCTTGTTGAACTTGCAAACTTTTCTGTCTTTGTTTTCAGCTGGTAGACATTAGGAGATCCAGAAGAGATCAAAGTCTTGCGGATGGCATCTTTGAAAGTCAGATCATTTGTCCTGCAAAACAGGAGTGACTTCTTAAAGCACTTTGACATATTTCTTGTTAGATTGTATTTACTGTGAACATGTGGTTTGTATTAAAGTGCATTATATAAGGACGGTGTAATAATCTGCGTGAAAGTGGTTTATTCTAAACTATATTAATATATAACATTATCATCTGTGTGATTATAGTTTTTTTAATTGGAAGGTATAGCTCCTATAAAATAAAAAGGATCCGCCTTAAGAAACAAGTTCAAATTTAAAGCCTTTAATTCCCCTTTCAGATATTAAAGGACAATTGAATACAATACAATTGTATTGGAAAACAAATATGGTTGCTGTATTGAGACCAACAGCTAAAACGAAATATATTTATCAGTTCTTCTTCTATTAGTGACGGGAATCAGATTCCTACCGCAGCTCAGTAACAAATGTGGCTCTATTAGCTCCCAAGCAGTTCTTCAGATTAGATTGATACTTTAAATTATTATTTTGAAAGGGATTTGTTTACTCATTCTACATAGAAATCAATAGAAAAGACCTACATATTCAAACAAGCATTTAGCTATTTAGTTTTAACTACATTTCAAAACTTTAAACTTTTATTACTAAACTCATTTAAACTTGAATAACCAAAAATCTGAACAAAACCTCAAAAAAGTCCATCAATCCACTTTATTCAATCGCGAGCCTGGTACCTTCATTTATTTCAAAGAGCTTTCAGAACCCTTTAAATAAAAGGTTTTTAAGGCTAAATATTGTAGAACAGAGGTCTTCAACACTGTTCCTTAGGATCCACTGTCCAGCATATTTTAGGTTTTCTCCTCCACACACCTGACTCAGATTATTGCTGATTAACAGACCTCTCAAGCTCTTGGAGGTTGCTGAGGAGGAAATGCAAGCATTTGATTCAGGTCTGCTGAAACTGAGACATCTAAAACATGCAGGATGGTGGGCCCTGAGGACCGGGGTTGAAGACCTCTCATTTGGAACGTGTCCTTAAATCTCCTTATCCCATCAAAACCTTTTTTCTTTCTTTTTTTTTTTTTGGGGGGGGGGGGGGGGGGTAGTATTGTTTCCCATTCCTGCTCTCCTTTGCAGAAATTATTTCATTCAGATACATTGAAGGATTAACAAGCAATAAATATTTGTCTCAACTAATTCCACAGCATTTCCCTCTGATTGAATAAAACATTTTCCTTTGGCTGTCACCTAACCTATGTTCAGTTTCCTTTTTTCTTTTTAGCTATTTAGAGATTAACTTTGTGTTTCGCTCTGGATCATTGTGCAAACAAACCCAATCTAACTTGAACTTAAGTTCATAAAATGTTTGACATTATACATGAAAATGGCACTAAAGTAGCAAACGAACGCTAATAAAACCTAAAAAAGGGCTCTAACAGCTGAGGACAGACAGACCGGCCGGCAGACACACAGGTGGAGAGTAGAGATAGGTGTAGTTAAACAGGGATAGAAGAGAGATAAAGCATTTGCACTATTTGCTATACCATTTCAGTACCCATTCACTACAGAATTCTGACATTTAAACTGATAATTCATTTCCTACATTAATCACTTATTAAATAAATCCTCTTAAAATGTCCATTCCTACACGCTCAATGAAACAAAATATTGTGCACTGTTTCTGAAAAACAGAATGATAAGGTCAACAGGATACTGATTCTTTTCCTTTTCCAGTTGCTTTGTGTTAATCCTAAAATTAATCTGCAGTGTGTCTAGCTCTGCTGTCCAGCAGAGTTTTCATTTCTTCCAGTTTCTTGAGCTTCGTTTTATCTCCTTTCTCCTTCATCTTCTCAATCAGAAAGTCCAAGTGGCGGATGGATTTTCTGGAATTGACCTTCAGAGCGATCTCCTCCAGCCGGACAATATGTCGGTAGGCCTCATCAACAAACTGGTTCTTCTCTGCTGTCAGTTGTTCCAGTTGTTTGTCAAGGCTTCTTAAGGCATTCATCTTATTCTGGCTTCCTGAACAAAGTTTGTTATATGCGTGTTTTACGTCTTGCACCTTCTTTTGAACTCTTCTTGTCTTTGCCACATACATCCAGTCCTCTTTGACATGAGCTGAAGAGGGGCACTTCTTGGTGCAGACAATGCAGCGACCATTTTGAATGATACCTGCTGCTCCTCCATTTGTGCATGGATAGAGACAGTTCTCCTCACAAATGTTACAACTGAAACATACATTTCTTTTTAAAAAAAACCAAAAAAACCCTCTACTATCAAGGGCCATTTTCTCTTTATAAACCTCATCCACCTCAATCACTTGATTCATCTTATCACCATCTTTCTTTAGAGCTTCTTGAATCTGGTTGGTTTCTGTTTGTTTCAGGTCAATTGACTTGATTTTTTCCTGCAGGTTCATGATGCAAGCATTCAGATTTTTCCGTTCCCTTATAACCTCAGTAGTTATCATTAATGTTTGGGGAGCAGAGATTCCCATAAAATCTGTAAGTTCCTTGAACCCGGTCTCTGATATCTTGTTAAGACTTTTCAGATATTCAGCATCTTCTTTTCGGTCTTCCTTCTGGCTGTTGTTGAACTTAAAGTGAACAGCCTGATTCTCTTCATTCTTTGCACATTTAATTTCTGTTTCCTTCACAGCTTTAAGAACATTTACAGGTTTTCTTCCATCTGAGTGTGTAACAAGAACTACAATCTTGTCCTCAAGGTTTTTCCCAAACAGAGACGTCACCGAGTCTAAGACGTAACACAGTCGATCAGTCAGCCGGTTATCAGACGCCTTCATCACCAGACCAACTGTATTTACTTCATGAACTCCATCCACTGATCCAAACAAGTCAAGTAACCTCTCAGCAACCTCTTCATCATGTCCTTGTCCTCTGGTGTCTCCAAATCCAGGAGTATCAATGATTGTCAGAGAAAATGGCAGAGTTTGACCTTCAAAACCAAAAATGTCATAGACGACCACATCTGATGTCTGACTTTCGGTCTGACTTCTCTCTTCCTCTGCTACGATCTGAAACCAGACTTCATCTTCAAACTTCACTCCCATGGTGTAGTTGAACAAAGCGTTGATGAGAGAAGATTTTCCTGCTCCTGTTTCACCAACAAGTAGGATGGTTCTGTTCGTCCTATTTAAATCTCTTTCACCAACACTCAATCTGGTCAAATTGTCAATCTTTTTTTCCTTTGGTTTCACTTGGTAGATAGCAGGAGGTCCAGGGTGGATCTCTACACTCTGAGAAATGATGTCCTTGTACCTGGTTTTGGCATCCCTGTAGAAAAAGTCAATAATTTATTCATTTAAATGCAGAAGGGTTTTTCAGTGTTCCTTTGTACTAAGTTTTAACTTCAACAAAACTAAAGGATATAATCATGAAAAAATTATAAGAGGAAAAAGAAAATAATGTTTCATTTCCTTCAGATTAAAAGGAAGCAAACGATTTTGCCACTTGGCTATGTTAATGATTCTGACTACAAGGGTTCATAGGCAGGTTCATATTGTAATAAAACTAATTTCTAACTCAGTTGATTTTTCATTGTTGATTTATTAAAGGGGTGATAGAATGATTATATAGGGTATTTGGTGCTGGTCCTTAAGGTCTCTGAATAGGGTGTGTAACATTGGTTGGGCTGAAAATGGCATATTTGTTGTTCTATGAGCTCTAATGCAAGCCTGGTTAAAAGCCCTAGAATGAAACACAGGTTTACTTCCTTTTATGGTATGATCATGAATATTTAGATGAGCTGTGCTCTGATTGGTCGGTTTACAACGAGTGAAGCTGCTGAGCAAAGACGCATCATAGCAACAAGCACTCACTCACTGAAACATCAAATTGTTGATATGGTAGGGTGACCAGACGTCCTCTTTTTCCCGCACATGTCCTACTTTTCATACCTAAAAAAATGTCCGGGAGGAATTTCAAAATTGTCCGGGATTTCAGTGGACTACAATGCAGCACATAGTCGAAACACACCGGGCATTAAAGACCGAGCCGTGAGCTCCTGGACTGGTCCAGAAACCACGGTGTATGGAGGCAGGGAGCCAGCAGGGGACGGAACGACCAAACCCAACCCAGTGAGCCTGGACACCGGCGGCCCCGTGCTTCCCCCCACCTGCCTTACGTTGTTGCTGTCCAGACTATCTCAGTCTGAGTTAAGGTATTTTTTCTGTGATATGGCTGTATCTCAGTAACTGCCCAGAACCACTTTAAATCATAGCACTTTCTGCTGCACTTTTCTACTGAGCACTTGTCAGTTTCACATGATTGTATTTCTGATAGCAAGGAGTAGCTAGCCTAGGCTAGCGCTAGCTTAGCATTGCTATGGCTTCTCTCTCTCCCTCCCTTGACTCTTTTCCAACTCTTTATTCTTCCTCTCCTCTCTCCTGCTCTCTGTGTCAGATGTTCAGTTATTCCTCTGCCTCCTTTAGTGATAATGGGATGTGTAATAAGTGTAGTATTTTTGTAGCTTTGGAGGCGAGGGTGTCAGAGTTAGAATCCAGGCTTCAGGCTGTTGAACATCCAGGAGTTAAAGTAGGCCCCCCACGTAGCTGTCCTCCAAAAGTGCCTGAGCAGCCAGGCGATTGGGTAACTGTACGCAGAAAGCGTAGTCGTGGATCTCTGCCCACTGGTCACCACCAAGCCGTTCACTTTTCTAACCGGTTTTCCCCACTCAGTGACACACCCACTGAGAAGCCCACTCTGGTGATTGGCAGCTCCATAGTCAGAAACGTGGCATTAGAGACACCAGGGACCATAGTCAAATGTTTGCCGGGGGCCAGAACGGGCGACATCAAATCCTACCTGAAACTACTGGCTAAGGATAAGGTTAAATACAGAAAGATTGTTATTCACGCTGGTGGTAATGACACCCGGTTACGCCGATCGGAGGTCACTAAAATTAGTGTTGCTTCGGTGTGTAAGTTTGCCAAAACAATGTTGGACTCCATAATTTTCTCTGGTCCCCTCCCTGATCTGACCAGTGATGACAGGTTTATCCACATGTCGTCATTCAACCGCTGGTTGTCTAGGTGGTGCCCTGAAAACAACGTGGGCTACATTAATAATTG